TATGTCATTTTATTGTGTAAGTTTAGACAGTGTTCAGTGTATTAATATGTCATTTAATGGTTCAGTATATTAGTGTAACAGCTACTGGTGTCAGTTAAGACAGAGTTCAGTGTATTAGTTTAACAGTAAATGGTGTCAGTTTAGACAGTGTTCAGTATATTAGTGTAACAACTATTGGTGTCAGTTTAGACAGTGTTCAGTGTATTAGTGTAACAGTAAATGGTGTCAGTTCAGACAGTGTTCAGTAAATTAGTGTAACAACTATTGGTGTCAGCTTAGACAGTGTTCAGTGTATTAGTATGTCATTTAATGGTGTCATTTAACACAGTGTTCAGTATATTAGTATAACAGTTGCTGGTGTCAGTCCAGACAGTATTCAGTGTATTAGTATGTCATTGTCAGTCTATACAGAGTTCAGTGTATTAGTGTAACAGTAAATGGTGTCAGTTTAGACAGTGTTCAATGTATTAGTATAACAGTTTCTGGTGTCAGTCTAGCCAGTGTTCAGTATATTAGTATGTCATTTAATGGAGTCATTTAACACAGTGTTCAGTATATAATTGTAACAGTTGCTGGTGTCGGTCTAGACAGTGTTCAGTGTATTAATATGTCATTTAATGGAGTCATTTAACACAGTGTTCAGTATATTAGTAAAACAGTTGCTGGTGTCGGTCTAGACAGTGTTCAGCATATTAGTATAACAGCTGCTGGTGTCAGTCTAGCCAGTATTCAGTGTATTAGTATGTCATTGTCAGTCTATACAGAGTTCAGTGTATTAGTTTAACAGTAAATGGTGTCAGTTTAGACAGTGTTCAGTAAATTAGTGTATCAACTATTGGTGTCAGTTTTGACAGTGTTCAGTATATTAGTATAACAGTCTATACAGTGTTCAGTGTATAAGTATAACAGTTGCTGGTGTCAGTCTAGACAGTGTTCAGTATATTAGTGTAACAACTATTGGTGTCAGTTTTGACAGTGTTCAGTATATTAGTGTAACATCTACTGGTGTCAATTTTGACAGTGTTCAGTATATAAGTGTAACAGTTGCTGGTGTCAGTTTGGACAGTGTTCAGTGTATTAGTGTAACAGTAAATGGTGTCAGTTAAGACAGAGTTCAGTATATAAGTGTAACAACTATTGGTGTCAGTTTATACAGTGTTCAGTGTATTAGTGTGTCATTTAATGGTGTCAGTTTAGACAGTGTTCAGTGTATTAATGTCATTTAATGGTTCAGTATATTAGTGTAACAACTATTTGTGTCAGTTTAGACAGTGTTCAGTATATTAGTATGTCAGTTAATGGTGTCAGTTTAGACAGTGTTCAGTGTATTAATGTCATTTAATGGTGTCAGTTTAGACTGTTCAGTGTATAAGTGTAACAGTAAATGGTGTCAGTTCAGACAGTGTTCAATAAATTAGTGTAACAGTTGCTGGTGTCAGTTTAGACAGTGTTCAGTGTATTAGTGTAACATATACTGGTGCCAGTTTAGACAGTGTTCAGTGTATTAGTGTAACAGTAAATGGTGTCAGTTTAGACAGTGTTCAGTGTATTAGTGTAACATCTACTGGTGTCAGTTAAGACAGTGTTCATTATATTAGTGTAACAGCTACTGGTATCAGTTTAGACAATGTTCATTATATTAGTGTAACAACTATTGGTGTCAGTTTAGACAGTGTTCAGTATATTAGTGTAACAGTCAATGGTGTCAGTTTAGACAGTGATCACTTTGTTAGTGTAACAGTTGATGGTGTCAGTTTAGACCGTGCTTGGTGTATTAGTATAACAGTTGCTGGTGTTAGTTTAGACAGTGTTCAATGTATTAGTATAACATTTGCTGGTGTCAGTCTAGACAGAGTTCAGTATATTAGTGTAACAACTATTGGTGTCAGTTTAGACAGTGTTCAGTATATTAGTGTAACAGTCAATGGTGTCAGTTTAGACAGTGATCACTTTGTTAGTGTAACAGTTGATGGTGTCAGTTTAGCCAGTGTTCAGTGTATAAGTGAAACAGTTGCTTGTGTCAGTTTAGACAGTGATCACTTTGCTAGTGTAACAGCTGTTGTTGTCAGTTTAGACAGTGATCACTTTGCTAGTGTAACAGCTGTTGGTGTCAGTTTAGACAGTGATCACTTTGTGTAATAGTGTAACAGCTTCTTGCTGTGTATAGATTCAATAGGACAATTTTGAATAGAAAAAGAGACATCTGTCCACAGAAAGTTTGATTGATTACTGTGTGAGAGGTAGTTGAGTTTATGAAGTTCAGCTGTTCAAACCTGGATATTTTCACTTGGTTTTATTTCTGCCTATTTTGCTCATATAAACAAGACAGTGGATTCTACATAGAACAAACATATGACATATGCTAAAATATTTAAAAAAAAACATACATCTTTAAAAGAACCATAATACCTTGACTTATGAGTATAAGTGCATAGTTTCTGGGATGGACGACTTGCATCATTGTTTGAATAAATGACCTCAATCTACTAAGGTCAGAGAATCGAATGAAATGTCTAGAAATTTAACTGACTTCTGAAAAGCTGTGCATACAAATTAAAATAAAGTGACTGTCTTCCATCATGTGTACAATGATAAAGGGATGCTGATGCGTTGTCTAGGACTCTAATATACTGTAAAAGTGGAAATGTTGCGTTTTTCTTGTTGAATAAATTTGCGCAAAAATAACCACAGGTGAGCATTTATTTCTGGATTATATAAACTATATAGATATCAGAACCATTGCCAATAGAAAATATCCTCTTTGCAATCAGTTAAAAGAGTGCCATAACGCAAACATTTCCACATGCAAAAATTTCCACTTTTACACTTTTCAAGGTTGTACCATGCCATTGTATACTAGCTAGGACATTCTAATGTACGTGGGTATTAGGCTAGGTACCTGAGTTTCTAGAGCTGTTCTCACAGCCAAGATTTATACAGGAAATACCCGGACAAAATATATGTTGTATACCCTACAGTATATGGATGTTTATGTCTGTCACTCGTAAAAAACTGTCCCATTCGGTTTGATATTTAAGTATAATTTAAATACCTGTCAGTTTTATTAGACAGTTTCCTGATCAGTTCTCGACAGATAGCTTTATGAATGAATAGGTTTTTTGGTGATTATAAAAATTTAATATTCTTAAAAATAGATATTTATTACACTAAACCATAAACAAATTATTGTATTTCGTTATTACAACTGACATTGATGATGTCAGGGCTATAAGACCTACAGCTGAAGAGGATAAAAGGATATAAGAAACTGTAGACTAGGGCTGTCACAATATATATCGGAAAACAGGTATATCGCAATACACGGGTATATTGTATCGTACCACAAATACAGAGATGAAATATTGCTGTATCGCAATATTTTTCAGAAGTATATTTTAATGTATCTGCTTGGTGTTTTAACTTTGCAAGTATTGCTCCTTTCAATTATGCTCTGACGTCATGTCATATCATCTTTTTTCTGTGCTGTAGCAGGTGACAAAAAAAAAAATCATACTTAGGTGGAAGTAATAATGAATAGGTAAAATGTGACACACTTCTTTAAATAGTGAGCGAAATTTTAATAAAAACAGATGGCAGGTTACAGATTAAAGTTAGATACACACTGATACATATTGCTTTAATTGAATTCTTCTCTGAAATTAAGAAATGGATATCAACCATATTTGGGTGGACATTCCTATATGGTAGGGATTCAGAATTGTACAAATGGAGGGGCTGCCCCTGGTAAGGGGTGGGGCAAAAAAAGGGTTAATTTGGCCATATTGCTTTAGTTGATTTCATCTCTGGAGCTAACTAACAGATGGATTCAACTATATAATTGGTTGGAAGCAAATCTAGGTGGTGGTGATTCAAAAGTGTACTATTAAGATCCCCACCCTATAACCGCATACATGTATACGTACAGATGCTGAGTATAAAGAGACAAATACCTGTATAGTTCCAGGATTGCTCAAGGGTCTAGCCCCGCCCATGGAGACTTCGTCCATATGCCATTACTTGGAAACATTTGAGATTCCCATCATCATGCCCAACCCTATAGAAGGTCTTAATTGCCATACTTCTTTTAATGATAATTTCCATGATTGTTTAAATATTCAGGTGAGCAATACAGGCCCTCTGGGCTTTTTGTTTTATTTTGTCAGTATGTTTACACAACTTAGCAACCAATACCTAAAATATTAAACTTGTATGCAGTAGCTTTTTCTGTGTCTGACTTATTAGGTTAGTATAGTTAAATCTTTTCAAATGTTGGTCAGTTTGTTGGACTTTGCTGACTATTTTGTCTCCTGCATACAAACATGCAAGCACGCATACACTGCACACATGGAAGCACGTCCTGAAATGACCTAAGCTGTTAATAGGACGTTAAACAAAATTAAACCAAACCAAATATCAGTAACTGCAGACATTATTGCAGGATTGGGAGGGGAATAGAAATATTTGAAGACATGACAATCAAGTGTTATGACAGAGAAGGATATAGATGTACCTGACTGACCTCTACAGCAGGAGGATGTTGATGAGGATGCTGAGTATGGTACACGCTTTAAACAGCATTATAACAGGTTAAAGTGTCACTGTGACTTACACTTCTACATTGGGATTCACTTCAATCCCTTTACATGTGCCAAGATATGTGATGCTGATTTAGATGGACAGAGAGACAGAATGAAAAAAGGAGAAAGAAACCAAAGGATGAAGTAGAGTGAGATCCATTCCTCTGACTAATATTTACATAGACTTGATTTTAGGGAATGAATGTTTCCATATCTAGGATATATAAGATAGACAGAGTGAGAGACGAATGTAGAGGATAGGGAGACAGGATTAGTATTGACACGTAAATCAGACAGGCTAACCAGCCAGGCGTGTCGGCTAGAGAACCAATACAATCAGCCACACACACCAATTTCCAGTCCAACGGTTTTTCCGATTTGTTGGAGCTGAAAGCTGAATCTATGCCAGACCTGGTTATTTATATTTCCACAAGCAAGTGAAGCGTAACAGTGTGTGAGGAGCAGGCTAACACACACAGCTCCCACTCAGCAGCCCTCCACAGTGCTGTCTGTGATGGAGGACAGATGATCACTGAAGGTGAACACTATTCATCGCGATTGTTTCACCGAGTGAGATTTAGTTTTATTCTCTGCTACAGAGTGTATGTGTAACACAAGTGGTATTTACCGAGGACCCCCGTTATTTACTGACGAGAACCATTTCCACCCTTTATTAGTTCTGATACGGATTGCTGGTTCGCTGTGTATGAAGACTTGCGTGATTACAGGGACATAGTATGTTCATGCACGAACTGACGTGATAACGGCACTGTAAAACATGTACAGGGGATAACCAGGCATTACATCTGATACATTAATTAGCAGAATTTTACTGTGGTACATAGCAACAGAGTGTGACCGGTCAGAGCACACCTGAGCCAACACCAAGGTAAGAACACACGTGAGGGGTTAACGAGATACGCTGAGGTAACGGTGTGAGTACAGGTAGATAACGGTGTCACCTGGCTGCTGGGTAGCGGTCTGTAATCCATGACATGTCTGTATAGGTGTGTGGCTATGTGGAACAGCTATATGTGTGTGCACTGCCAGTATTTATAAATAAATAGGGCCTCTGTAACCTCTCTTATCAGTCCTAACAGTTTGTTCAAAGTTTAGTCAACTTACGCGATCTTCATTTTACATTTAGTCTGTAAAATTATTAATAGTAGGTAAAAATGTTCAAATCAATAATCATAAATGGATTCAAACGTTTCAAAATAAATCATAAAACTGATTGATTTGGGTGAGATTTGAGTTACCTAAGGAAAATTTATTATTGGACGATATCTGATGTAGAATGACATAGCTTTGAGAGGCAGAACTGTGTACGAGATTTATCAGACTTCACACCATAGACTATAGTTCATGCGGAACTCCCTGCTTGTGCATGTTAGTCGGTCAGTAAGTGTCCCGGTGTGCCTGGCAGAATGTCATGGTGCAGTGACCGCCACTCTCTCCTCTCTGTCACACTTCCCCAACTAACACCTTTAACACGCTGGACAGGAAGTCAGGCATATTAGCACACAGGTAAGTTTTAACTTAATATAATCCAGTTATGAATCGGGTTTAAAACATTTTACAGGCCGATTGTCCAGCATGTATTGAAAACGTGAAATCTGATGCTTCAATTCACAATCTTGTGAATGCAAGAATACTTCTTGGTAGTTCCGTTATTTCCACTGGAATAATTTTGTATTCATGATAAATTCAATTACAAAGATTGCATAAGACATATACCAAACACTTCTATATTTTTTTCAGGCAGTTTGAAACAGGATGTATCGAACTGCATATGTATTTGAAATATTAAGTGATATTTAAAACAGTATTTAAAAAAAATAATTGTGCATGTTGCCTTCAAACTATTTAGATTGCTACGTCACCAAACTTGTATGATTAATTCTGTGTATATAAGTATCAGTAAGGGAATGTGTTGTACTCAAGTTTACTTATCATGTACAGTTTTCTCATTCACTTGACCTGTACAAGGACGCTGGATAAGTGGACCTGTTACCACTAATTGACACACAAATAACTCGTATCATTTTCGGAGTCAGATATATTTCTGTTTCCTTCACACCAGGATGTGGTTTCATTGGTATGGGAAGGCTGTTTAAGATTTGTTGTGTGTATTTAGTTATAAAACAAGAAGAAAACTTAAATTTGTCCAAAAAAAATATCCTCATTAAAAATTCAGTTGTAAGTATAGAATTTCAGAGTTTAACTTTTTTTAAGTGAATGGTACTATTGATAGCATCCTGCTTGAAGCTAATATATTTTCATGAAGACACAAACTGGGGTACGGCCATACACACAAAAAATATGACACAGTGAACAAAGTAGAAGCTGGCACTGTGCTAATAAGTAACTGTTGGATGAATTGATAAGAGCTGTTGGATTAGTCTATACACGGAGAAGGGAGGGTGGGTACTGCACGAGTAGCTCTGCGACACCTGATTCTAAACAGTGCTTATTTGTCTTACAGGCTGAACATATTAATCACTGAACCAGAACTTATTGACTACTGAACCAGAACTTGACCATTGAACCAGATCATCATTAAGCATGGCCGTGACTGTGAATACGCTTCAAAGAAGACGCCACGAAACCTGGTACGTATACGGAGACACCCAAAAAAACATAAAACAGATAACAAGCTAGGTTTAAAAGGATAAGCTATATGTGACGCGACACTTATCTGTCCATAGATAACACACAATGTGCTATATGTGCTATTGAGCAATTTGTATAGAAAGTTGAAAATTTAGATATTAATTAAATTTTCCGTTTATACTTCGTAGACATTGAAACTTCTCAGTAGTCTTTCCATAAAGGGTTTATTTACCCTGTTAACAAGTCGTAAATAAATTTAGGGAGAGTACTTTCAGCCTTCTACCCAGATAGAAATACCGGCAACAGCCAAAGGTGACTGCATGGCTGTCAGAATATTTCATTAAGTTTTTCACTATAAATTTAATTTATTTCATTGATATTTTTGTATGATAATAAAGAAAATAATTATGTTGTTAGATAAACGGTAATAAAAAAAATTGCAGTTAGATGTAAAAAGGCATGAACACACTATCAGTTTATGGCCCGTGTCATGAAGTCACCGACCATAAACTGCACAATTGACGAGATTTATGGCCAAAAAAATGATATGGCTTGAAGCGGAATACACATTTAAATTTTACAGCACTTAAATGTTTTATAGTTATTGAAGTGCTTTATTGGTGTAGAAAAATATGTTGAATACATCACAACTTCTCAAATACTGGCCATTTTAGTACTGGAGTCAAACAAACAGTAGACAAATGAAGAACCTAGAAACATTAAGTTAATACAACTCATCGGATATTAATCACTCAAATTGGCCCGGATGGTAGCCGGCAAGGGATCTTACTGTGGGAGGAAACCGGAGTGCCTGGAGAAAACCTGCGTAGTCAGTCAGGTGTGACCTCAGACCTTTTCACATCCTATCAGGGAATCGAACCCTTGCCGCCTTGGTGAAGGGAGAGTGCAATATCTACTGCGCCACTCAACTACTAAGAGTTACACTTAAGCAATGGCGGATGTACATTTTTAAGGGTCTAGCATGCTGATATTAAAATAGGAAAGACACAAATAATATTTTCTATTCTTTAATCTGTTACATTTGTCATGTTTATAGTTTGTCTTGGTAACTTGATCCGATCACAAGCATGTCGCTCATTGTATCCTTCATGGACAGTTTGATAATACGTACATCCTGGTACAGACTCCACATTCACCTGTTGTGAAGTGTGTGTGTGTGTGTGTGTGTGCAAACAAGCGCTGTACACATGCAGGAACACAATATGTCTGCAGCTAAACACTTCATTATAAAGTTATTTCTAGAATCATACACAGTTTATTGTGGAATCTTGCACTGTTTATTGCGAGTACCTAATTTATGTACCTGCCATACGTCGTAATCTTCTGTTTATCCGTACCCAGCAACTGGTACTACCATAGGGAGCCATCACTTTTCACCGTCTGTCAGTCCTTGCATCATTTTTCTGGGGCATATCTTGTATAATCCTTGTCACCTAAAATTGCAGTGTCAATATTACTCACAATTGGGATACTCACAATGGGATGACAGAATGTTGTATTGCCAATTTGGGTCCTGTACTCCATTAAATACAGAGTTATGGCCCTTTGTAAACCATACCTCAATTTATTTGAAGCATATCTCATGTACTCTGTCGCTACAATTTATGAATTTTGAATGAGAACCTCTTGGAATAGCAGCAACTTGTTACAGTCTTGTATTTTTAATATATGAGGTTGGGGTAATATGAATTGCAATGCAATAATTTTCCTTGTTGTAATCACCTGACCTATATGTACTTGGCATGTGTGTTTATTATAGCTAACATACACGCTGCTAGTCACTGACCATGATTACAGTACACACCTTGTTAGGTGTCACAGCTCACCTGCCCAGGTGTGACCCACCTTGTCCCCGCCCCTCTCCACAGGTAACTGGAAGTGCCATCACTTCCTATGCCTAATCAGCAGATTGTGTTCACTGATCTGTGAATTTTACCTGGCCGGTCTGCTGACACAGCTGATTGGATACTGGAAGGGACCACAGGTGATCCCTATTAGGCTCTCTTAGTCCAGAACACCTTTCAAACATATATGCCACTCAGTACCCAATTAGGGCACAATGCTTCAATTATCTGTCTGCACAAAGGTATGGTCAGGAGAGCAGGATCACTGGAGCAGAACATTAGCCGTGGCCTCATGGATAGGACTGTTTGTTTTGACATTTCTCACCTACGGTTCTAGGGTAATTAGGACATAGGTGGTACAGTTATTAGTCTGGAACAACAAAGCAGAGGAAGTAAAGGCTGTAAAACCATAGGTAACCTCCCTGTGTCAAACAGCTTGTTTAACCTGTGATTAGTTCAATAATTGGGATACAGATCCTGGTCCATTGACAGAAACAATCCAGGATGCTGTGACGTATTGGCAGTGCCAGGTAAACGTGTTTGTATAACGAGTATGTGTGACACATTGCTTTTCAGGGTCAGTGGTTATACAGGGAAGGTGTATATTTAGAACAGCTTTTTAAAAAAATAATGTAGAAATACCAAAAGCTAAATAATGAGATGAAAAATTTATCGATTGATTTTTTTATGGTGGGAAAAGTAGAAAATAGGTATTATAAAAGAAGTATTTCTTTTATTCTATCTTATTTCTTTTCCCATCTTTTAAAATAATAGCTTGATCTGTATTTAAAGGAGCACCTTGTAATATTTAATAATTAAATCAGTTTGACGTACTGTCAAGTTACTTTATCATTAAAATGCGAATGAATCTGACAAGTTTTCTATTAATTGTGCAATGTCTTGTGCAATATGCTATTGAAACATGTCACCTGGGATTATTTTAAGTTATCCGAGCTTAATCTGTCACAATTGAAAGGTTTAGTTCATGCAATCCTGATTATCTATTCCTTGATTACTCATTAGCTGCTTTAGTTCTGGCTAATTAGGATCTACCTGGCTCAGGTATAATTGTGTACAGGAGAGCAACATCTGACGACAGACTTGTGACGTTGATCAGGTCATGATTCCATTACCTTGTAAGACACCATAATGAATTGGTAGAAAGATTGACAGAGATAGTAAGGGGCAAAGAAAGATAGTAGGAGAAAAGAGGATAGAATTGTAAGTTCAATGGACACACCTTAACAACAAGGGGGTATTTAGTCAGGTGAATGTTTATTGTTGTGATAACACACAAGCCTAAGGAAGCCATTTTCGGCTGATAACCATAGCCACTAATAACATTTACAGATTGTGTGTTATCTAGTCTCATTGTTATGATGACAAAATGTTGTCATGCGAACAGCACATTTCATGTGTTATTATAGTCCTAAGATTTGGGGATTATAATGGAAGGTTTTAATTGTATCTGAAAATGTCATCTTAGAAGCTGTTTTGTCAGTAATGAGGGAATGTTTTTATTTTGTTTAACTTTGCCATGGTTGGTTAGAAGTGTAGCTTTGATCTTCCTGTTATCTGTTTGAGGCTGTGAAACAAACTAATCCACCTTTGAAAAAATATAACTACTTTTCAGCGGTCTGTTGTAGCTGAAATTTATTAGGCACACTCTTTTTGAGAAATCAAATATCGTACATGGCTGATCTTGTCTCGGTATAAAAGGTAATTCTTTTGATACATATATCACATGTGGCTATACAGTACTAGTACAATAAGTATAAAGAATGTCATGGTTATTTGTGCTTGCATATCACTTCAAAATCCCATATCACAAATGGGCATAAGTTAACTAGCACCATCCAGTTTCTTATTGAGGTTATATAAAATAGGTCTATGTTCAAATGATGGGTATCAGGATTCGTCTTGGTACCATCACTCCACATGGATAGTTAATACTTGATGCTGTGCTACGAAGTGGTACAGGGCATTATAAGTGTCACCCTTGTCCGTACATACATCCAGCTGATTAAGTTCAGTTTTTGCTTCGAGTTATTAGGTGTCGCTTTATGATCACAGCATGTTTCACTGAATTGGTTTGTGAACTTCACCTTTGATCTTGAACTTTGCGACCGTGGTCAAGTTTTTGTGTATAGGTCAATGTGTGACCTTCGCCTTTGACCATGATAAAGTTTTGTGCACAGGTTAATGTTTGACCTTCACCTTTGACCTTGATCTTTGTGACAATGGTAATATTTTTGTGTATAGGTCAATGTGTGACTCACTGTTGACCTTGACCTTTGTGACCATGGACATTGTTTTGTGTATAGGTTAATGTGTGACCTTGATCTTTGTGACCATGGTAATTGTTTTGTGTATAGGTCAAAGTTGGATCAAGTTCTACAGCTATAGTCATGTAACTTCACATGCTAAAGGCTCTGCCGGAATACAGGGCTCTTTATGACCTTGACTTTTGACCTTGATCTACATGACCTTGCTGTAGTTTGAAGTGTAGGAGCTGGGAATCCATGTTTTAGAGACCCCTTTCCATTCAATTTATCGAATCAACCATTTAAATAAGGTGATATCGGTGACAATTCTTTGACTAAATCTTTTATGGTAGCTATTTATGATATGAAAGGCTTGGTCCAGGTTGAAAATGTTTTTATTATTCAGTCAATTCTGTTTTGATAGAAATGTTATGTCTTTTTTATAATTTGAAAAATAACCATGACATTGATATCGATATCATTGAAATATTGTGGAAGCCATGTAAAAATTGTTACAAAATATTTTAATTTGCTTGTGTGAGACGAATTTTCTGTTCCATTTTGGGATGGAATAGAATAATGGTGACATGGTGTTACTGTTGCGACCTGACAAAGATGACAACAGTGAACAAGGTATGCTTTTGACGTGTAGGGTCAGAATTAATTGGTATGGTAAGGGATTTGTTTCCACATCATTCCATGTTAACGGGAGGCTGGTGTATTGCCGGGCAGTCTACGTGTAGTTATTATTGTAGTCTGGTCACTAATTAGTACAGCTTTGGCTGTATGGATCCCGCGGATAATCAATTCTGTCAACTCTGTAGATACTTGTGACACTGTGCAGGACATTGGTAGGGAAAGTCTAATGAA